AAGACATAATGTCATAGTTGTCTGCGACTCAACTTCCAGTAACTCGAAAATCAGCTGTCGATCTCTGGATGTTTTCTAACATTTCCTTTTGCGGATTCACGTGGTCGAAATGACGTTCGACAGGTGGATTGAAAGATGCTTTTGAAAGAATGGCCTTCTAGCGTAACTTACAAACTAAGCTGATCGGGGATCTTTGAGAAAATAATAGAAGAAAAATTCCAAAAAAATCGAAAAAACAAAAAATTTCACAGATATCAAATTTTACTTCGACCCATTCGTTTGTCAGGAGTTGAGCTCAATTTTTTCTGACATCTGACACCTCCTTGTCACTTGTTTGGGAGTCAAAGTGGGCAAATGACGATTTTTTTTTCCACATATGTGTCTGTCAATGTATAAGACACCACTGTTAACGCTTAAGATGAAATCTTTTGCTAATGATGGAAGTAACAATCCGACGCTTGGTGGCGGATTATGCTTCGCATTGAAACATGGTGCGACGTTCCTCGTATAATAGCTCTTTTATTTCCTCCAGAAAATACTTGTTAGTAAGAGAATAATAATTGTAATCTAGTGTACATTGTCTACTGTGTAGGTATGCTTCAAGTATTTTAACTTTACGTTTCTTTAGAAACGCATTATTATTCCACAATATTACGAAAATAGTGCATCGAAACCCATTTATGTTCACCTATTTTTCCAATTATTGTTAAAGACGGTACAGGTTTTTGCTCAACAAGTTCAAAATCATTACCTACCACAAGTTCACAATTAATTTTATCCATGATATCCTTCGAAATGCTGATTATAAGAACAATGCAATAGAGAGTTGGAAGTCAAAAAAATGTTAATTATCTTATGGCTTCGCGCGCTAACAATTAAAGAGTACACAAACTACCGCACAACATTGCTATATTTATTTTCTTGGGTACGACGCAATAAATTTAGAACAAATGATGTATGTTCTTTTTGTTGTTGATTTATTCTTTTGATGCCTTACTTTTCTCACTGCAGTTTTATTGCCTTATTGTATTTTCATTGCCTGGATTTTACTCCTTCCCATTCATATACACATTAATACAGGAGTCTAGATGATCAATCGCATTCCTGATTGGTTTTACGGCGTCAAATCCGCGGCCACCCTGCCAAACCCTATCCTGGCATTACGTCGCTTTACTCGTCCTTACCGAGCCCAAAAGATCGGTAAAAAAATGATGTATGACACAGAGTTTGATACAAAACAAGCCTCACATTACAACGACATTGCAACAACCTAACAAAAGTCAAAAACGACCCTCTCTGGATTGCAGGCCTATATTTATCAACACAATTAATTTTCACTGCATGAATACATGAACGGCGAGTGAAGCAAGGATATGTCATTGTGCCAAGTTTATTCTCTGTTTAAGTTTTTTTGTGATTCTGGGCATCACATTAGCTAGCCAAGCCTAGGGTAGGTTTCCATTTATATCCATAGATAAATGCGAAAAATCGAAAGCTTGCTAGAGAAACTTCGGATAAGGGGTATGTCAATATAGGTTCCTCTATCGATACGTCATGTATTATACACGTCGTAACAGAACAATAAATATTTCCAAAAACTGGCAAATTCACTTGATTCTATCCAGGAGACCCATCCGAACTCCGATAATATATTTTTGGAAGATTTTACTGTTCATAACTCACAGTGAATTAGGTTCTCGAACAAAACAACCCCTGGAAGGATTGCTGAAGCATTTGCCATGTCACACGCAGGGTCGGATTAAGGTCTTTTGGGGCCCGGGGCTATTTTCACAAAAGGGGCCCCTAGGTCCCTGAAATAAATTCAAACGTCACTCAAACAAAACTTTACCTTGCAGGTGCATTTATTACAGTGACTTTATACAAGACAGTGGCGGTGGCGACAGTGGGTTGTCTCATTTCTGATTGGTTCTCAGAATTACGTAGTTCATCAGCCATGTTTTGACAAAAGGAATTTGTTTTTATCATTCAATCCTATGGAGTTCTATGTAATTTTGTTTTGACAAAACATGGCGGGTGGGCCCTATCAAGGTTCCTATTGTCGCCACTGTTTTGTATAAAGTCACTGTAGCTTTTATTACAGTGATTTTTATGCGGATAGTGCGCCATCTATCAATAATTATACCAGCTACTCAATAATAATATTATAGGGTAGTGTTGTGTTTGATATAATTGATAGATAATAGATGGCGAAATCGAAATTGTAAAATTATAAAATTATACGCGTGATTTCTTCCCCGTGTGAGGTGATGTTTTGGGGCCCCCCTCATTTCGGGGCCCGGGGCTTTAGCCCCCAAAGCCCCCCCCTCAATCCGTCCCTGGTCACACGGCCTAACCCAGTTAGTAGAAGAACTCCCACGTATTCTCGATTCCGTTTCTCAACAGGCCAATTTACTCGATTGGTTCCTTACCACTTATCCATCTTTACATCATCGGTGTGTTTGGAACTTTGGGCGAATTAAACCACAAATTGATTTTCGCTGGAAGTTCTCTTGTTATACCCTCAGCTCGACCTTTCCGTGATCCGATGTTTGCTTTAAATCCGAAGATTCCTCCGAGGCTGCAGAAGAGGTTACCGAAATAATTTCCTTAGGTATAGAATTGTACATTCCACACTCCAACGAAACATCCTGTGCCGGAAAACATGGTTTAACAAGCAGTGTGTCCGAGCGTTTGTGAAAAAGAATACCGCATATCGGTCCTGGCGTTTAAGCCTATGCGAACAAACTCGATCTTTCTTTTTGGATACCAGGAATGATTGCAGCCGTACAAACAACGAGGCTTAGGAGCTACACAACCAACAATTGCGCGTAATCGACTTTTGGTTCGCTTGAGTGGTTCAAGGTCCTTTTGGTCATTTGCCAAGAACATAGGCACAAATTTCTCATCTTCTCCTTTTCCACCAGAGTGTGCCTATCCCGAAAAAGGACAAGAAACCACTGAAACTGGTTAAATACCTCGAAGCCAATAAGATCTTCTCTAACAAACAGTAACTACGGGTTTCGTTCTAAAAGGTCAATAGGGGATCTGTTGGCGTACGTCATTCATATTTGGAACTCGACGCTCGAAAAACATGTCGAATCCAGAATTGTAGCATTGGACATCTCCAAGGCTTTTGATCAGGCGTGGACAAAGGTCTCCTCAGCAAACTTCCATCGAACGAATTTTGCCAGAGGCTGGGGAGCTTGTCGGAAGGCAGGTCACTGCACGTTGTCGTCGATGGTGTTCTCCTACACTGCTTATAAATGCTGGCGTTCCCCAAGGCTCAATTCTGTCCCCAACGCTGTTTCTCATTTTTATAAATGATTTGTTAAATGTAGCAAGAAACCCCATGTACAGCTTTACAAACGATAGTAGCTTGATAGCATCTTCATCTCCTGACACACCACTTATTGCAGTCACTTTCACACGCCTCGCCGGAGAACAGATTCACTCTATTAACACTGATCTTAACTCCATTATCAACTGGGGCTTTAACAACCTGGTCAAATTCAGTGCTTTTAAAACTCAAGCAACAGTATTCACAAATAAGAAAATTTCGACCGATGATCGCCCAGTTTTAGGAATGTCGAGACAAATCCGTTTTATCGATCCCTCAGTATCTCTTCATAGGGTGACCGCATCAACCAACTTGTCTTGGCATGACTATATAACTTCGATCGTCAAAACCGCTTCTCAAAAATTAAGTTTTTGCTTCGTGCTAAAAAATTCTCCACTTCAGAATAACTTCTTTTCCTTTATAAGGATCAAATAGGACAATGTATCGAATACTGTTCCCACATCTAAAGCGATGCTCCCAAGCAAGCAATAAAAATGATCGATAATGCAACTCTCACCGATTCCTAGTATTCTCTCGAACATAGACGCAAGGTGGCCGTCTTGTCATTATTCTGTCGCTATTACCATGGGAGATGTTTTGACAATCTGACCAGCCCCCGCCACAGAAATTATTTAGGAAAAACAAGAACCTCATAGGCATCCCATCCGTACTCATGTGTAGAAGTTGGCTACCTCGAGGACCTCTAAATGTAGGGCTTCTTTTTGTTGACGTACTGCCCACCTCTGAAACCCTCTGCCTCCTACTTCATTTCCTGAGCGATTTAACCTTCATGTGCTCAAACTGAGAATTAATCGTCACTTAATTTCTTCCGCTTACTTTTGTGAGCGGGCCAATATAAAAATCAAATGATTCGACAAAGGTGACCGTTTAACAATATTTTTATATAAAATGATCATTTAAATAATGGAATGTAGGAAGGTACATACAAGAACTCAAACTGTTTATCGTAATGTAAAAGTAAAATCAACTCATGAATATGGTTCTAAACTAAGCTGCAGTGGATGATAATTATTTAATTTATTTCCTTTAAACTCCACTAGTTCAGAACTTGTCAATTCATTCATTCAAAACTTGTAAGTGAATTTTTACCGATTTTTGTTTTCCTTTTTAAAAATAAATTATTTCATGCACTGCCTGCATTCGTTCAGGCACCGTTTGACCTCTACCTGAGAAAAGAGGTCTGGAGAAAACGTGAACAGAATTATGCAAGGTGAAAATACAATTTTAAAGTCAATTGTCTGCCATTCAATAACATTTTTCAGATGCCATGTGTAAACTCTAGATGCAGGACAATGTTTTCCCAATAGATTTTTTTTTCAATTTATCTCGCTAATGTATTTTTATCCTGTTTTTTTAATTGATCAATTTTGACTCAAAAAATAAAACCACTTTAGCAGATTTTTCCGCTTCTATAAAAGAACTTTCTACAAAATAAATTAAAAGCACAGCATTTCCCGAATGTTAATTAAACCAGAGTAAAGTGAATTTTCAATTAGCTTTCTGAAATAAACTTTGGAGAGTTTAAGTGCAATTCAGTAACCTTCAAAAAAAAAATCTCGTTTTGTGTAAGATTTAATAGCAATTGCGCTAGAACATTTTATAATACTTAAGTGTGCAATATAGTTTTTTTTTTCTAATTCAGATAGTTCCGGTAAAGGTACATTTTTAGCTGGTTTCGGAATGGGTATCCTGGCGTTTTTTCTCAAGAAGCTTATGTTACCAGTCATTTTTGGTACCCAAATAATTAAGTCAGCGCTAATAGCTATGTTCCTGCCTACAATCCTCGGTGGAATTGGGAAATTGGCGGGGAAAGGACTATCGACATTCTCAGGATTATCTGCTGCATCTACCGGTGAGAAAATATTATAAACAATAGGAACATATAAAAATGGTTTATCATATAGGGCATCAGTTTGGTCGAATGTAAAGCATGTTAATTACAGCACAACCATCAGTATTAATTTAAAAGAAAATAATTACAGTATTTGTTTATTATGTATTATACAGTTGAGTGGGATTTACATGGTAATAAATTACGCTGCTTTATGATTTTCTCTCTTTAATTAGTCGTTCATGATTTTTTCAGATTAAATCCATCTCGTTTTTTTTCCTTGCCTATTAGAAATTTAATTTTAAGTCAAAAAAACATTTAAATTCCTAGGTTATCACCGACCCCAACAACAGGAAATGGAAGATTTTGAGTTTAAAGATGCTGAATCCTATAACAATGAAGAACCTCTTGGTGCCAACTTCAATGATGGAGAAGATAGCTTGACATTGGGTACTTCGGATAGTTCTAGTACTGTATCTCCAAATAGCAGGTGAAAAAAATTACTGAATTTTCTCTTCTTAGTTGGTAGAAGCCATTTTTTCCAATCAAAAAGCATCTATAATCAATCATCGCCTTTCTAAAGAAAAGCCTAATCAAAATTTATTACAAAGGGGTTCGGTTGTAGCTTTAACATTTTTAATGTTTATTTCAACTATAAAATTAATGTATAATTTGGTGTAAGCTCTAATTACTCATTCTAAGAAATTTTTATTGAAAATAAACTTTTTTTCAGGTTCGATTTTGCTAACAACAGAATCTACACTGCACCAAAACTCAGCGATAACTACTATTTACGACGACCTCAAAAGAAAACCGACTATAAAGTTTTCCACAAAATACCATCGTCATCGCTACTTTTAACAAGTTATGATCCTTTTTATAGTCCGTTGTTGTCAAGATTGGATTCGGTTTTCCAACAATTGGGTCTTGGAAATGAGAAGAGTTCAGAAACTGAAAGATGTCGAGAGAGATTGGTGTGCATGATGTATGCTAATCCTGCAAAATATGCCCCGTATAGTAATTTGGTTTCTGCGCAATTGAGCAGGTAATTTTTTTTCTTCTTTATTTGTAAGAGTTCTAAAAATAGCTCCACCTAGTATTTAGACTCGTTAAATAAAGTATTTATTTTGAAAGTCCTTCACCTAGAGATGGGCCTCGTATAGGTAATAAGTTGTGTAAGAAGTTTTACCGACAACATTTGTCACCGCAATAAAAGGCATTTTATTCATCAATATTGCATCGTTTTTCTAAATAGTGATTGAAAAGGTAATCGTTGGTGACTCTCTACAATGTGATCAAGTCAATTTTCAAATCGATCAATGATTATCTTTTTGATCACTGTTTTGTCAAATGGTGAAGGCGGCTAATAAAGTCATATTATATGAGCATTGAAAATAAACATCAACAACCATAAATTCCAAAGCTGATTATTGAACAAGTAGAAAATAAGTGCATGGTTATGAGTGTTATGACACAATAGGTAGGTATTATACAGGCACACAATAAAAATCTGTTTTACACCTTATTATCACCATTTAAAACATAAAAACATAAATCATCGTTCAAGTAGAAAAACTATTTCCACGTAATGAACTTTCAAACGTGCAAATTAAAAGTCTTTCATTAAAATATTTTTAATTAAAATTCTTTTAATAAGGACAGGGAATTATACAATTTAATGCGTTGGAGCGCTAGATGAAATAAGACTGGAATTTTTGAGAAGCGCGACGATTTACTAATTCTATAGTTTTTTTTATTCCTTCCGGAATTCCTATAATTTCTTCTCGGCTGCCCTCTAGGTGCTTATGATGCAAGGTTTAGGAAAGAGTAGGCGTGAGATTCTTTTCTATTAGTTCTTGGTTGTTTTTTCATCTGGGTGCCAGGCTTTCAGGCGACTTAAAGAAAATAAATAAGAACAAAATTTGAAATAATACAAATCATCAATTTACTCCCAAAATATAATATAAATACTCATAATAATAATATTACACAAAACAATCAATGAAAAAAGTTGAATTCTTACAAACAATTAGGTTGTTGTGTAAGAAATAGAAGTTGTACCGAAATTCTGAAGAATTACCAACTATACGCACTAATTGCTAGAGTCGAATTACAAGTTGCTTATCTATTCTATTGGAAGGAGGTTCTTCACGGTCCGAGCAAGTTGAATTCTATGTGTAATGATCCTGCAGCAGAAGCACGAAAGTAAAATTTGAACTTTCTGGTTCTAGAAAAAATAATATATTGAATATAAGTTCTTATCCTGGTTTTCCAATTCACTTAACCTTCGTCTTCCCATGTCAAAAAAAATTACGTAGATTCCCACGTGGGGTACATTCGTACCCCATGATAAAAATGATACTTTTGATAATTAAACAAGATTTTATTTATACTAAACAGTTATAGTAGATAAAATCAACCTATATAGTACAGTTAGCGAAAAAAAAAAATAGTTAGGAAATGGTATTTTCGACCAATGCCATCTTTCAATTTATAAATCATTTTTCCGCCTTCTACTTCCCGTAAACTTTCGTTCTCTTCCTGCTCCACAAATACCTACACTCACCGACAGAAAATTCGGGACAATCAAAATTTAGATCAAATTTGATGTAGGATAACTTTTTCTTCCATAGTCCGATTTCAATCTTTTTTTTCCATAATGTAGATAATTGTTTCGGTTTTAATTAATTTTATTCAATTTTCAAAAATACAGTTTACATGTTGGAATATACCAGGAAAATAAAAAAGTATATTTTTTCTCTTAAATTTGTAACACTCTGTAGAGTAATTTTGCGAAGTAAGCTACACTGAATATGCTTTTCTGGAGAGTTTGATCCATTTTCAACATTTTGCTGTTTTATCGGTCTTGGTATCTTTATCGGTTTGGGAGATATGAATTTTTGAAATAAACATTACACTTTTTGATCAAGTCTAAATTTTTGAAATATACCTTCAATTTTGATCAAGTCTATTTTTAATTGAAGCATGGAACTAGGGGTTTTAGAAGTTTGTACCTCGTGTTACCTCCTCTTGCTCTTATAACAGCTTCTAAACGTCGATTCATTCCTCTAATCCGGTTTTGGATATCCTGTTGTGGAATAGCAAACCATTCTTCTTCCAAAGCATTTCGGAGCTGTTGGAGAGTGAACAACTGTCCTCGGCGTTTCCTAATTCGTCTACCTAACATGTCCCATACATGTTCTATGGGATTAATGTCAGGACTACGAGCGGGCCAGCGCATAACGTTTATTCCAACCTCTTCTAAATATTGGGCCACTATTCTGTTCTGGCAGTACCTATGTGGACGGGAATTGTCATGCATGAAAATGAATTCGTTGCCGATAAATTGTGCAAAAACAACAACATGTTCTCCCAGAATTTCGTCAATGTATCTTGGGGCAGGTAATCTTCGGTCAATAAAAACAAGTTCTGTTCGAGCGTCAAACGAAAAACCGCCCCATACCATTATCGATCCACCATCAAAGCTAACCCTTTCGCTGAAAGTAGATTGGGCGAATCTCTCCCATTATCGTCTCCATACTCTTTCTCGTCCATCAGGTGACCTCAGGCAAAATCGAGACTCGTCTGAAAATAGAACTTGCCTCCACTCTTGAAGGTTCCAGTTAATGTGTGGCAGATATGCTAGGTGCTACAAAATCTAGCGTGGGAAGCGCCGTAGCAAGATATTGTGAGACTGGAAATTACAGTAGAAGACCTGGATCTGGAAGAAATCGCGCTACTTCCGCCCTTGATGATCGCTTCATTAGACTCTCGACTTTAAGAGATCGGCATACCAGTGCAGTAGTGATAAGAAATGACCTCGACCGAGTTCGTCAAGTTGCTGTCAATGAAATAACAGTGAGAAGACTTAATTAAAGGCAATTTACGGGCCAGAAGACCGGCAACTGGATCAGAACTCCAAAGACAGCATCGAGTTAATAGACTTCTTTTTTCCCAAGAACACATTAACTGAAAGCTTCAAGAGTATGGAGATGACAAGGGGAGAGATTTGCCCAATGTACTTTTAGCAAAAGGGTTAGCTTTGGTGGTGGATCGATAATGGTATGGGGCGGTTTTTCGTTTGACGCTCGAACAGAACTTGTTTTTATTGACCGAGGAAATTTACTTGCCCCGAGGTACATTGACGAAATTCTGGGAGAACATGTTGTTGTTTTTGCACAATTTATCAGCAACGAATTCGTTTTGATGCATGCCAATGCCCGACCACATACTGCCAGAATAGTGGCCCAATATTTAGAAGAGGTTAGAATGAACGTTATGCGCAGGCCCGCTCGTAGTCCTGACATTAATCCTATAAGACGGTCGAAATTTGATCGTGGCGCCATCTAAGACAAGGATTCAACACTAAACAGCAATTTTTGCTGTATTAGTGATGCCATCTAATTGGCCGACCAAAAATCAGTTCGTTGGGAAAACCCAAAACAGGAAAAAAAGATTTCTCCTTATTATACACTGATTAGAAAATTTTGGAATAATTTTCTTTGCTTTTCCATCCATAGACGCGTTTCGACCTATATCAGGTCTCATCAGTATGGCTAGGAAAAGCAAAGAAAACCAATCCAATTTTTGTGCATCTATGCAAAATAGAAGTAATAAGACGGTCAAAATTTGATCGTGGCGCCATCTAAGACAAGGATTCAACACTAAACAGCAATTTTTGCTGTATTAGTGATGCCATCTAATTGGCCGACCAAAAATCAGTTCGTTGGGAAAACCCAAAACAGGAAAAAAAGATTTCTCCTTATTATACACTGATTAGAAAATTTTGGAATAATTTTCTTTGCTTTTCCATCCATAGACGCGTTTCGACCTATATCAGGTCTCATCAGTATGGCTAGGAAAGGCAAAGAAAACCAATCCAATTTTTGTGCATCTATGCAAAATAGAAGTAATAAGACGGTCGAAATTTGATCGTGGCGCCATCTAAGACAAGGATTCAACACTAAACAGCAATTTTTGCTGTATTAGTGATGCCATCTAATTGGCCGACCAAAAATCAGTTCGTTGGGAAAACCCAAAACAGGAAAAAAAAAAGATTTCTCCTTATTATACACTGATTAGAAAATTTTGGAATAATTTTCTTTGCTTTTCCATCCATAGACGCGTTTCGACCTATATCAGGTCTCATCAGTATGGCTAGGAAAAGCAAAGAAAACCAATCCAATTTTTGTGCATCTATGCAAAATAGAAGTAATAAGACGGTCGAAATTTGATCGTGGCGCCATCTAAGACAAGGATTCAACACTAAACAGCAATTTTTGCTGTATTAGTGATGCCATCTAATTGGCCGACCAAAAATCAGTTCGTTGGGAAAACCCAAAACAGGAAAAAAAGATTTCTCCTTATTATACACTGATTAAAAAATTTTGGAATAATTTTCTTTGCTTTTCCATCCATAGACGCGTTTCGACCTATATCAGGTCTCATCAGTATGGCTAGGAAAAGCAAAGAAAACCAATCCAATTTTTGTGCATCTATGCAAAATAGAAGTAATAAGACGGTCGAAATTTGATCGTGGCGCCATCTAAGACAAGGATTCAACACTAAACAGCAATTTTTGCTGTATTAGTGATGCCATCTAATTGGCCGACCAAAAATCAGTTCGTTGGGAAAACCCAAAACAGGAAAAAAAAAGATTTCTCCTTATTATACACTGATTAGAAAATTTTGGAATAATTTTCTTTGCTTTTCCATCCATAGACGCGTTTCGACCTATATCAGGTCTCATCAGTATGTCTTAGATGGCGCCACGATCAAATTTCGACCGTCTTATTACTTCTATTTTGCATAGATGCACAAAAATTGGATTGGTTTTCTTTGCTTTTCCTAGCCATACTGATGAGACCTGATATAGGTCGAAACGCGTCTATGGATGGAAAAGCAAAGAAAATTATTCCAAAATTTTCTAATTAATCCTATACATAGAACTTGTATGGGATGAGACATGTTAGGTAGACGAATTAGGAAACGCCGAGGACATTTGTTCACTCTCCAACAGCTCCGAAATGCTTTGGAAGAAGAATG